GACATTATAAACAATATTAATAACACAGAAACATTATATATACTCTAGAATGAATAAAATATGTCAATGTTGGTGTATGACAAGACACGTAGGAAGCAAGAGGAAGACAAGTTTACTATGCTTCAATATGACGCTAATATCATCTCTATGGCTTATTTATCTATCAAAATTCATCTAATATGACATTATAAACAATAATAATAACACAGACACATGATATATACTCTAGAATGAATAAAAGATCTCATAATGTATGAGAGGAGTAAATGGTGTAAGTGTTATTGTTGAGAGAAGCCGTTGGGTGGCGGTGGAGGATTTTGCCAGCACCACCATCACACTTAAACAATGTATGTAATTTATAAATAAGAAAGATTTACATTTTAATTTATAAATAAGAAATATTTACATTTTAATTTATAAATAAGTTTATTCAGGTATACACAAATACAGTTACATAGATTATCATACATTGCAGCACGTGTAAAGTACCTAGGATAACCCAAAAAAGTCAGAGTGACTTACGTATTTCCATTGGGGTCCTTTTATATTTACACTTAATATATTTACTTTTATGCTTACACTCTCATATTTACATTTACCTCGGAGATGTTAGTTTAATTAGTTAGTTTGACCGGCGTATGTTCAGCGGCCCGATACACATCCAACAACATTGGAGAGTTACTTTCGTGTTATTTTTCTATCGCTTACTCGCTTAACCCTTTCAGGGTCCAGAGGCCAAATTTCAAAGTGCACACCAGGGTCCAAGAATTTTCAAAAAACAATTGTTATTTTTTCTTATGAAATGGTAGAGAATCTTTTTCTGAAGGTAATAAAACAAAAAGTACGAAATTTGATGGAAAGTTGACGAAATTATGCTCTCGTGAATTTTGATGTGTCAGCGATGTTTACGCATAGGCGATTTTGCCTACTTTGACTCCCATTTTAGGCCAATTACCTTATTCCAGTCGACCAAATTCTTAGTTATTTCACTAATATTACTTCTATTCTATCGACTGAGCACACGAAATCGTCAAGTCAACTGTTTCAACTACAAAATAAAGTGATTGGAAATTGGTAATTTGGCCAATTTAGTGCAAAGTTCAAAATATATTCCAATTTCAAAATAGGGTCCAGAATAAACAATGCAGGCATTCATGGCAATAAACTAACATTTCCTCTGTTCATCAGTTACGTTTTCAGACTTTACAAATGAATTCCATTTTGATTTTTAATTCACATAATGAATTTTTATTCAGACCAAAAAATAGAAGATTTACTGTCATGCAGTATTGTAATAATTGTGTAAATAATATCAGCACATATGTGAACATATATTAGACCCACCAACTGGTGTGTATTAGATGTGTGAGGTCATTTGTTTACTTTTGAACATCGGCAAAAATTTAACATTTCTGCTAATTTGAGCTCAGTTTCAAGCCATTTTCCGTACTAAAACCAATCAAAATCATCTCTAGTTCTGTAATATATCTTCCAGTCTATCAAATGAGACCAAGAAATCGCAAATACAACTATAAAAAACATACGAAAAAGCACTGCAAAGTCACTGTTTTAATCGAAAATTACGGTCTCAGTTTTTTTCTCTCATTATACACTGTGTGCTGCAGGATTTGTTTTATGTGGTGCACACATACCACATAGATGTATACTCTCATATCTAGGCGCGAGCTCGTGGCGTAGATCTACGGTTTGGACCCTCAACATAAAGCCATAGATCTATGGCACGGACCCTGAAAGGGTTAACTTACTTGCTACACTGTTAATTCTACACTTTATCGCTGGCTGGTACTATAGCCTTTATCGATACCTGCTGCTTTAGTATCGTACATATCGTAGAACCAATGAATCACTGCAGAAGGCACATTCTCCCCTCTCTCTTTCTCCTCCACTTTTGTACTTTGCTACGAGTTTTTTCTTGAATTTTATTGTGTTTTTATCTTCTTTATCACAGGGCTGGCACTAGAAACTTTCTTTGGGCCCATGGTGGCTTATTTAGTGGTTACAAGCACTAAAAACACTGGAATAATACAACCGAAAAGGCTTGTAACACTGGCACACTGGCTGTACATGGAGTCTTGGAGTGACTGGGCCTGCCCAGGCCGCGCTCCCGGCACATGGACACGTTCTGGATGAACGTCATTGGTAGAGTTTTTCACTGTTGGTAGAGACATTTTTACACCAGAAAGTCCTGTTAAAAGAAATTGCCGTTACTTAATGCCGCCGTCAGTTGAGGGTCCACTGTATTCCTTTAGCAATAAGGCCTGTTCCACACACTGAAGATATTCTTGTACCTGTGCCACCCGAGACATGACAAATTTCATCAGAGTCTGATACCAGTGATTCTAAGGAGATGGAAGTAGATTATGAACCACCAACAAATGACAATCCCAAATTCTTCAACCAAGTTGAGCTCAATGACTTAGTGAGAGATCTTAACCTTCCATAAGAAAGTGCACAGTTACTTGGCTCTAGACTAAAGGAACACAGGCTTCTAGCTCCTGTAACATTCGCTTGGTACCGTCATCGTGAAGCAGAATTCACTCAGTTCTTTGACAAAGAGGCATCTTTAGTTTTCTGTTCATATATTTCTTGCCTTATTGAACACATGGGGGATGTCATACAAAGCAGATGAATGGAGACTTCATTGATTCTTCTAAAGAAGTTTAAAGGTTGCACTTCTCTACAATGGGAACACAGCTGCATCTGTGCCACTTGACCATCGTGTCCAAATGTCAGAAACTTGTGCAAATATGAGGACACTAATATCTGCAATCAAGTATCAGAATCACAATTTTCTCAATGATCTGTGGTGATTTAAAAGTTATTGCTCTCCTACTAGGTCTTCAAGGCAGATACACAAAGTATCCCTGTTTTCTGTGTCTTTGGGATAGTAGGGCAGACAGCCAGCACTATGAACAAAAAGACTGGCCACCAAGAACTAGCTTCTTACCTGGAAATCACAACGTGAAAACTGTGCTACAAGAAAATTCTGCTGCAACCACTCCACATCAAATTAAGGTTTATGAAAAATTTTGTGAATGCCTTGAACAAGAATGGAACTGCTTTCAGGTACCTGGAGACAAAGTTTCCTCGTATAAATGAAGGCAAGCTAAAGGCAGGAATCTTTGTTGGCCCTCAGATTCAGGAATTGATGAAAGACAAGCATTGTGATGAAGCATTAGCTGATGTCAAGGTGAATGCCTGGTTTTCATTCAAGTAGACTGTCCACTACTCCCTGGGAAACAGGCACTCTCCCGAATATGAAAACATGATCCAAGACCTGATTTCAAGTTTCCAACAACTTGGGTCTAGAATGAGTGTGAAGATGCACTTTTTGCACTCACATCTTGACTATTTTCCCAACAATTGTGGGGACTACAGTGAGGAACAAGGAGAGCGTTTCCATCAGGATATTTGCACCATGGAAACTCGATACCAGTGCAAATGGAATGTCAACATGATGGCGAATTGTGCAAGAATGGTATATAATACCGACAAGATGAAGTTAAGACACATGTGCAACATCTGGGTATCTTTATTGTAGACGTTTCGCCATCCAGTGGCTTTATCAATACAAATTCCAGGACATAACTTGAAGACAGTAGGACTATATACAGAAGATGAGGTAATCAGTCCTCAACCTAGGAGTAGGTGTGAAGAGCACCATAGTCGTGGAGATTCTGCAGCAGAAGCAAGGAGCCTGGGCGCTTATATACTAATGTCAGGTCAGGTGTAGCAGTGACTATGCCCTCATCTGCTACACCTGACCTGACATTAGTATATAAGCGCCAGGCTCCTTGCTTCTGCTTCAGCATCTCCACGACTATGGTGCTCTTCGCACCTACTCCTAGGTTGAGGGACTGATTACCTCATCTTCTGTATATAGTCCTACTGTCTTCAAGTTATGTCCTGGAATTTGTATTGATAAAGCCAATGGATGGCGAAACGTCTACAATAAAGATACCCAGATGTTGCACGTGTCCTAATTTCATGATGGCGAATTACAGCTGGTCATTGAAACGTAATGGCCTGGGTGCACAGCACAAGCGAAAATCAAAGCAGTCCTCCATACTTTGATTCAGTATGAAGGCTAACCATTAGGAGCATATTTTTTAATAAAATCATTTGATTTGATTCATGTTGATTTGGAATTCATATGTTCTTAAAACTAACAATGTGCTTTTCCATGATTACTTGCCTAATATTAATAAATTAACAATTATTAAAAATTCACATTTTCTATCACTAATTTGTATTTTCTTCAAAATCCTTATGTGATAGAGCAAAATGGTTTAGATACAGCATTTACAATCAACAGCTCAAGAATGTGTAAGATCACAACCATGAATAAAAATAAAAATTAAAAACATTCCAAATGCAGACGAGTGAATTATCAATGGATATAGAAGAAATACACATGTGCACAATTCCAAGGGTGCTATCCCTTGTAGCGAGGCCTTTAGACCTGACCTCTTTGTTGACAGCCTGGTCAACCAAGCTGTTATTACTGATGCTCCATAAACCTACACAGCTACCATAACTTGGGTGATCCTCAGCCATGTTGAACAGGTGGTGGTTCAATTTCCTCATGAACACTTCACCTTTTTAATCTTGCAATTTTTCTTATATCTGCTAGGGGATAGCTGATGGATCTTGGACCACAAATAATAATACTGTTCCTTAATTGTGCCTTTAACATACCTATTTTTCACTGAGTATTCTATATTTTTCTCATCTCTCTCACTCCAGTAAGTTAATAGCAAATAATGAGCATTATAATCCTACTTAGTGTTTGGAAATACTCTGCTGCATTACATAACAGTAAGAAGAGGCATTCAAAAGATACCATTCAGGACTGAAGTTGAGGATATACAAATAAATGACAAAACCAAAAGGTATTCTCAGTAGCATAGGTATGATACCTAATATTGTAATAAACTACTGTATTATGTTAAATATTAAAGAGCTGAGCCCTTACTAACCTGTATACTGTTAGAAAGTTGCTCCACTGACTCATTGAGAAGCCTCTCCACCTCAGTGTCAGTAAGACATGCAACATCAAAATACTCAGGATCATTCTTCTGTGGATCAACATGGTCAACATCACCATCATACTCCCCATCATAGTAGTCATTAAAGTCATCATCACTAAACTCCATTTCTTCGTCAGACATCTGCAAATCACACACAAAACTAAAATCTTTCACCAGGGTAAAATTTTTACTTGCTTTTCAATTAATCAGTGTTCCCTTAATACAAATATCTTAAACTGACACTGGTTTCACAGAACCACACAGAGGAGAGGAATATGCACAATTTACAATCCCCTCATATTATGAAATACATCAGATACAATAAATTACTGGATATTAAGAACTAAGAGACACGGCAAAACAGTAATTACAAACACAGTAGGCAATTACTATACAAGACAATGCACTGCCAAATATAAGACACCAAGAATATGACAACACTGATGAGGTTATCACAAAGATAACAGAGCATTAGCAATATAATGGTCACTATCAGGAAGGCTGCAAAGCTACTAGTTATGACAAACTTCAACAGTAGTGAAATCAAATGGGTAGAAATAAACCCTTACAGTAATGCACACACATGGAAAGTAAAATTAACCCTTAAACTGACCAAGCAGATCTACGTTCGCATGCGTAGTGTTCCAAAAGTAGATCTATGTTTTTTTTTTTTTTTACATATTTTCAAATATAACCCAAAAAAAAAGTAGATCAAAGTTTTTTACACTTTTTCAAATGTAAAAAAAGAAAAGAAGATCTACTTTTTTTACATACTTTCAAATGTTGAAAGAACATAGATCTACATTTGGACAGTTTAAGGGTTAAAGTATTCTATAATGCAGATCTTCCCTCAACCACTAGAATGAGAGAGGAGACAAATCAGCTTCACTGATTTGTCCTCTCTCTCATAGGTAACATAAAATGTTGTCACATAGGAAACATAAGATGTTGAGGAGTTTGTGTTAGAAGCCACATCAGGAGCCAATGACCACTGCAGCCTGAAAATCTAATATACAATACTCCTAGCAGAAAGGAGACTGAAGAAGGAAATTAAACAGAAAACAGGGGGATATTAAAAAAAGCAGCAAACAAGTGAACATGAAGCAGAACCTAACTGGTACAGTGGGATACCAAACTTAATAGAAAACCAGGTCTCAGTATGACGGAATAGCTTTTATGAGTACAGTGGACCCCTCAGCTAACGATGGCATCACCTAACGTTAAATCCAGCTAATGATACATTTTAACGCAAAAATTTTCCCTCGGCTATGCTAACTATAAGAAACCCTCCATTCCTAGCATTCGTTTTACAAGCGCCAGTGTGGCCGATCACGCCATGTTTCAAATCACCAGTGAGGTCCGAAAATCCAGTACTATCCCGAACATTTCTATGATCAGGATGAGAATTACTATGGATTGACTGCAAAATAAGTAAACTATGGGTCCCAAGAGAATGCTTCACTAGTCCAACCACTGCAGGGAAAAAGGGGGAATTTACCAGGGAATGAAGAAAAGTTAAGGAAGGGTCCGTTTGAAATAACAATTATGCTCTCACATCCCATGAATCTCACCTAGATCTTAAAAAGAAAGGGTATTAAAACCCAGTGGAAAATGTTTTTTTACCTCAAGTCCTCAGGAAGGGATTTCCCTTTTTTAAAAAAATTAAAAAGTTTACACGTGACCCTCTCAGAAACGGATTCAATATCCCTGATCCATTAATGAAGGAAAAGTTCAGTTTTTGTGTATTAAAATAATATTCCCATGTGGTATGAATGATTGTTATATACTTTGGGGTGCTGAATCGTATTAATTTAGATTTCCATTTTTCTTATGATGCAAAATTAATTACCAGTATCGTACTCCGCGGAAATCGTTACTAGACGTCCACCGTAAGAAGGGCCAAGTTCTAACAATACAAAATTCAGGCTGCCTGTCATTAAGTGAATTGTATTAGGGTGGAAAGGTTTGTAGTGGTGCTGATAGTAAAATTAGAGTTCAAATTTTTGTGGCAAAAAGTGTTGGTAGAGTTGGTAGTGCTTGGAATGGGTAATCAGCGCCCCGTAAGAGGGCGCTAATACAGGGGTTGGCTGATGTGTCAGTTGTTGTGATGTGGTAGGGTGGCAGTGATTGTGGTAGAGGGTGGAGTGATGGTCGTAGAGGGTGGGAGTGATGGGTAGAGGGGGTGTGGTGGTAGAGGGGGGGTAGTGATGTGGTAGAGGGTGGAGTGTTTGTGGTAGAGGGGGGGTAGTGATGGTGTAGAGGGGGGGTGATGGTGGTAGAGGGTGGGAGTGATGGTGGTAGAGGGTGGGAGTGATGGTGGTAGAGGGTGGGAGTGATGGTGGTAGAGGGTGGGAGTGATGGTGGTAGAGGGTGGGAGTGATGGTGGTAGAGGGGGTGGGAAGTGATGGGTGGTAGAGGGTGGGAGTGATGGTGGTAGAGGGTGGGAGTGATGGTGGTAGAGGGTGGGAGTGATGGTGGTAGAGGGTGGGAGTGATGGTGGTAGAGATAACCTCTCCTCCCTCTCCCCTCCTAGCCATCTTCCATATGCTAAAAGCACCTTCAGTAAAGGTAAAAGTGATTTAAATGTTTATTTATCCATTTCATCAGTGCTTTATATTTTTATTTCTCATTGTTTTCTGTATGTGAAACTATAGTTACTCTCCATAAAATGTAATTTTTCTTAATATTTTTGGGTGTCTGGAATGGATTAATTGGATTTACATTATTTCTTAGGGGAAATATTACTTCAGTTTTCGTCCATTTCGGATTTCGACCGAACTTCTGGAACAGATTAAGGACGAAAACCGGGGTTCCATTTTATAAGAACACAAGAAAGAAGGAACACTGCAGAAAGCCTACTGGCCCATGCTGGGCAGGTCCATATCAACCCCTGGCTTAGACCAATGGCCCACCCAGTCAGGTCACCTCCACTTAAGGAAGGAGCACAGCATCTGACCCAGTAGCATCAGCCAGTCAGATCCAACTCTCACCCACTCATGTATTTATCTAACCTATTTTTAAAACTACAGAACATCTTAGCTTCTATGACGGCACTCGGGAGTTTGTTCCAATCATCCACAACTCTATTACCAAACCAGTGCTTTCCTACAACCTCCCTGAATCTGAATTTTTCCAGATTAAAACCATTGCTGCAAGTCATGTCTAGGCTAGATATTTTTAGCATGCTATTTACATCCCTTTATTCATTCCTGTTTCCATTTATACACCTCAATCATATCCTCCTAATTCTATGCCTTTCTAGAGAGTGCAGATTCAGGGCCCTCAGCCTATCTTCATAGGGAACATTTCTGAGACATGGTATCAACTCTGTCATCCTCCTCTGTACATTTTCCAGTGCATTTATATCCATTCTGTAATATGGTGACCAGAACTGTACAGCATAATCTAAAGGAGGCCTAACCAAGGATATACAGAATTGAAGAACAACCCGAGGATTTCTATTATTTATGCCTCTTGATACGAAGCCAAGGATTCTCTCAGCTTTATTGCAAATGCTTATGCACTGTTGTCTTGGCTTCAAGTTACTGCTAACCAGAACTCCTAAATCCTTTTTGCAATCAGTAATATTAAGATCTACATTATTTAGTTTATATGTGGCATGGTTATTATCCTTTCCAACACTTAGAACTTTGCATTTGTCTATATTAAACTGCATCTGCCACTTCTCCGACCACTCCATCAGTCTACTCAAATCATCCTGGAGTGCTCTAATGTCTTAGAATGAACTGGACAGCATATTTTGGTGCCATCTGCAAATTTACTTATGTTGCTATTTATTCCCTCATCTATGTTGTTTATGTAAATTGTGAACAACAAGGGACCCAACACTGATCCCTGTGGAAAACCGCTTGTGACGTGCCCCCATTCTGATTTCTCCCCATTGATGCAAACTCTCTGCTGCCTATTTGCCAACTATGCCTCTACTCAGGAAAAAATTTCTCCTCCTATTCCATGTGCCTTAAGTTTCTTCAATAGCCTCTGATGAGGAACTCTATCGAAAGCTTTACTGAAGTCCATATACACAATATCATATTCAATACCATAATCTACCTCCTCAAATACCTAAGTGACAAAAGTTAGTAAATTTGTAAGGCAGGAACACCCCTTTGTAAAACTGTATTGAGATTCATTAATCAATTTATGCCTTTCAAGTTTGGCTACGAACTGCCTCGGCAATTATTGATTCCATAAATTTTCCCACTATGGAGGTAAGGGTTATTGGTCTACAGTTCGAATCTAAGGACCTGTCACCTGCCTTGTAAATAGGTATTACATTTGCCATTTTCCACTTATCAGGCATTATGCCAGTTTGTAGTGATATGTTGAAAAGATTAGCCAAAGGTTTCCTAAGTTCTTCTTTACATTCCTTTAACCCTTTGACTGTTTTGGTCGTATATATACGTCTTACGAGTCACCATGTTTGACGCATATATACTCACCAATACATAAAGGTGGTGACCCTACAGATTTAAACAACTATAGGCCAATATCAAACTTACCATTGCTATCCAAAATCTCTGAGAAACTCGAGCACAGGAGACTATATTCATTTATAACGGCACAAAACATACTCAACCCCTGCCAATTTGGATTCAGAAAAAATAAAAGCACTAATAATGCAATTATAAAAATGCTAGATCTGCTTTAAACAGCATTGGAAAATAAGGAATATCCACTAGGAATTTTTATTGACCTAAGAAAAGCTTTTGACACAGTAGACCACGGCATCCTACTCCACAAACTTGACCATTATGGTATAAGACGCCATGCGCTTGCATATTTCAAATCTTACCTTACTAATAGGTATCAGTATGTCACCATTAAAGACACAGCATCAACAACATGGCCACTTGATACTGGAGTTCCACAGGGAAGTGTCCTTGGTCCCCTGCTCTTCCTCATATACATCAATGATCTTCCAAACATATCCCAACACCTGAAACCCATTCTCTTTGCTGACGACACGACTTATGTCATCTCTCACCCTAATCTTGCCACCCTCAACACCATTGTTAATGAGGAGCTGATCAAAATATCGACTTGGATGACAGCCAATAAACTCACGCTTAACACTGACAAAACCTACTATATTATGTTTGGTAGCAGAGCAGGAGTTGCGC